TGTTAGACTCAAAAAAAAATGCAGGATTAGAAATTGCAGGGAATTGGAAAATTGTCTCCTGTTACTATGTGCTATCTGCTGAAGCTACTGCGTTGAAATATGGTCATTGCCTAGCACAAACAATCGGTTGCAATTAGATTATTGTTAATTCAGATAATCTTGAGTTTATCAGTACGATGAATGAAGGAGGACAATCTGTAGGTCCAGCGGCTGCAATCTTTGATGATTGCTACCATATCATGTGCAGCTTTCCTCATACCTCGTTTGTGCAGTCCTAGACAGACTAATTTCGTTGCTCATGAATTAGCAAATTTGGCCAAGGGCCCGTCTTGTAGTAGTTTTTTCCTTGAGCCTCCTAGCGAGCTCTTCCATCTCTTATTAAGTGATGTAACGCTGGTTGAAACATAAATAAAGAGAGTGATTTTTTTTTTGAAAAAAGCTTGCATGCAGGATTAGAAAAAAAGAAAAAACAGAGGTGCCATCTACGAAACGGAGCCCATTGCCAGGTTTACATCATCCCCTTGTTGTGTGCTAGGGAGATGTGTCCATCGTTTTTATTTTTGCGAACCAACCTGTGATTGGATGGTTAGAGGGACTGTTGTATCCCCAGCCAAATCCTGGTGCTCACATTTATTCCTGAATTTATTTCAGGATTTCTGGCGATACGCATTGTGGGAGGAGACGTTCCCGTCTTCCCGTCGACGACGAGGTGCCTACGTGACTTCGTAAATTTTAAGATGATATGACAGCTTAGTCTTTCGGAGGTACTCATAGGGGTAGGGTATGTGTGTGCGTTCATAGGGATGAGTGTATGCGCGTGTATATGAGCGCTTGTGTCTGTAGTGATGTTAAAAAAAAATCATTTTTTTCGTTTTTTGTGTGAATTCCTTCGGAATGTTATCTGCTATAACACCATCTACAACCATTCGTGGCCAATTCCAGTTTACACCCGTTTCATACGCAGATCATCATCTGTAAAAGATAAACTGATTCTAGCGGAGTTTCTGCGCTCCTGCACATTATTAAACAGCTACACTCCTTGCACTCTGTACATTATTATCCCAAGTCACAACATCAGATGCAAAGTTTTCACACTACTCTTTCTTTAGCTCTAGACAGCCTAGACTATAAGCTCCTGTCACCAGCTGAGAAGAGAGGTCATTACATGGACTCATCACTAACTTTCAACAGTCACAACTCGAGCTTGCTCGCTAGGTACCACGAGTGCATGGCCAGGCTGCCGAATGCCATGATGTTTGCCAGGGACGACAGCCCGTGGATCATCCCGAACTTCTTGTTCATCGCTGCCAGTGTAGGGTTTGTCTTTGCCAACTCGGCATTCCTTGACCGTCCCACCTCACCACCGATGCCAAGATCCTTCTCGATCTTATGCCTCTTCATCATCATCTGCGCAAGATGAGCAAAGTCGCTACTGTGAATCAACAGCTGCATAAAGCATAGGTTCTTCTGAGCTCATGGGAAGGATCCAGTCCCCCTGAACGGTTACTACTTTAAACCACACACTATAGCTGTTTGCAACAATCAGTATGATTCGCAGGCCGTATAACATATACTCCCTCCGTCCGGAAATACTTGTCGGAGAAATGCATAAAAATGGATGTATTTAAAACTAAAATACGTCTAGATACATTCATTCCTCCGACAAGTATTTCCGGACGGAGGGAGTACTACACAACCAAGTCCGTGTCACCATGTATTATGATTCTCTGTATGGGAACAGCATCACCTACGAGGCTGTGAAGGCAAACTACCATGTTACTTTTGTTCACTACCGATAATATTATTACAAACCTAACAGAAATCCGGATGTGCCTGTGATTTCTGCACGGAACTGTTAACCCAAGACCGTGTGTCATGACAGATGTACCAATATTTTATGACATTAAACAACATATGACTCTATAAAATGAAACTTCACTAATCGTCGCAATTGTCATCTAGCACAAATACAATACAAATTTTCCTTGTAAGTAGAAGTATGAGAAGGCAAAAACGGTAATGTGACCATGTAAACAAGACTAATGAGTACGTAAAGGACTGACCTCGATAGTCATGGGGGTGAAGACCAGAAGGTTGGACAGGTCAAAACCGAGGGCAGCAAGAAGGAAACCAAGCTGGTAACGCTCAATAGTTGATGCTGTCTTCCACGGGTTGAGGTATGCAAATGCTGCAACCGATATAGCTGAACACACCGATATCAACATGAAGTATGCTGGGAACATCTTCCCCTGCAGACTCCCGAACTGGTGCCTTGGCAAATGCCTCCATTATCCAGGAGATTAGATCAAAACAATATCAATTGCTTATGATTGCAGGTCTCACAACAATGAAGGCGCAGAGTTCAAGAGTCCAGCAAACGATATAGCATTCTAAGTGCATCTAATGTATTGCTCTGACAATGCATCTTACGGATCAAGTAAACAACCCAACTTTCTTGTAAAAGCTGAATAGCATTGACACTTTCAAAATTCAGATGTTCTAGTAGTAAAGGGTAACCACAGTCGTTACAGGCTTGTGGCTAATGTTTCATAGGAGATCTACATCTCTCTAGATACTGAACAATCAAATGTCTTCAGTTTACAAGCTGTGTATGTTCCTTCCCTTGGATTAAAATATCTTTGGATGTTCTGCTAATATGTTTTTGTGCTAGCAAGCATGCATAAACGGGTGATATTGTAAAAACATAAGTTGTACAAGGTGAGATGAATTGCTGAGAAGGTATGGGGTCCTATCTCAAAATCTGTGTTGCCTGTCCCAAAGAAATTGCATTTGAGCATAGTGGAAAGCTATCAAATGCAACGGGAGGCACCCAAAACTGCCTAAATTCTGAAGCTATTTACAAATGGGGGAACATGTAAGATGTAAGTACCGAGTAAGCGCAATAATAATAAAGGCAACAAAAGCCTAGATGAATTCCCACACACGCGAGGCTAAGAAATTTAACTGAGACGGGGCAAACTTTTTTACTTGAACATGACGATGCCGCCGATGAAGGTGACCCAGAGCGCGGCTCCCCATGCGGTGGCGAAGCAGAGTACATGGGCCAGCCTCGCCGCCGCGACGCCCGCTGCTGGGCGGCCGGGGGCGCCGCCGAAGAGCGCGTCCGGCGCGAAGAGGACGCCCGCGGCGAGGAATGAGACCGCAGTCAGGAACCGCGCGGCCCACCCCATAATGTCTCGCCGCTTCTTCCGGCTGGCTCGACGGGCTAGGGTTTGGAGGCGCCGTAGGGGGGTGAAGGAAGAGGAGGCATAGCGTGTTTGTAGGAAATGGGAAGGAAGGTTGGAGCACATCTACAGCCGATTTGGCAAATCCCGTCCCTCAAACCCCACGGACATGTCCGGATTTGTCCGCGGACACCCACCGGACACATCTCAAATTTTTCTTCTCACAACCGGACATCTCAATTAGCACACCTTAAATTCATACAAACTCACACAACACGTACTACATCACGCGGACACTCACCGGACACATCTCAAATTTCTCTTCTCACAACTGGACATCTCAATTAGCACACCTCAAATTTATACAAACTCACACAACACGTACTACATCAGAACATGCCATCGGACAACCAAAAATTGGCATGTTTATGTATACTTGCTAGGAAGAAGATCACCCACAGCTACCCTTGCCTTTCTAGGCACCCTTGTCATCCTTCTCACGGAAGTAGCGGTCGAAGATGCAGTATGGGTCGAGCCGGATCTGCTCGTCACCTGAGTTGTCCTACCCGAGGTTGTCCTCCTTCTCCTCCTTGGGGGGTAGTCCGGCCATGGAACAGGCCGCCCGACTCTGCTCTCAGGCAAGAGCGCGTGTGTTCCTTCGCTGCTGCTCCTTCACAATGCGGACACAGATGGCTAGGGTTTGGTCCGACGAGCAGATGAGAAGGAATATATGTGGGTTCGGTGGCCCAGTGTGGACCGGGACCAACATGGTGGACGCGCCCCGGCGCCCCCACATCCAGTCTAGATTTGAGCTGGATATGAGGGGTGTGGGTCAGACTAGGCGTTTGAGGCAGGTTTAGGGCTGCCGGCTATAAATGCTCCTAGCGAGCACACAATTTAGGCGACGTCCGTGCCTCCATGGACCTTGTAAAAGAATCAAGAACATACTGTTTTTTCCTTTACATATTCTTTTTATCAGAAAACCTTGAACTTAATCGTGGCAGTACAATGAACACTAGAAATAATAAAAAGTTACATCCACATTCGTAGACCACTTATCGATGACTAGTGTCGGTGTCAAAACCGGCAGATCTTGGGTAGGGGGTCCCGAACTGTGCGTCTGAGGATCGAAGGTAACAAGGAGGCAGGGGACACGATGTTTACCCAGGTTCGGGCCCTCTTAACGGAGGTAATACCATATTTCCTGCTTGGTTGGCTATGATGAATATAGGGGTTACAAGAGTTGATCTACCTCGAGATCGTAATGGCTAAACCCTAGATGACTAGCCTGTATGATTGTGATCGGGGCTATAGACTAAAACCCTCCAGTTTATATAGGCACCAGAGGGGCTAGGGCTGTACAAAGTCGGTTTACAAAGGAAGGAAACTATTCATCCGGACGCCAAGCTTACCGTCCACGCCAAGGAGAGCCCCATCCGGACACGAGAGGAGGCATTCTGTTCTTGTATCTTCACGTCCCGTTAGTCCGGCCCATGTCACATAGGCTGTCTTCCCGAGGACCCCATAATCCAAGACTCCCTTAGTAGCCCCCGAACTTGCCTTCAATGACGACGTTGTATCTGGCTTTATGTCTTCGGCCTTTGCAAGGTAAGTTCCTCACTATGCTTCATATAGTTCGGCTTTTGCATTAAATATTGTGCTCTCCAGCTTCCGTGCCGCTGTCGCCTCGGCCTCCACGTGGTAGATGAATACGAAGGGTCTAAGCATTTTTACAAATAACCCCTTGACCATGTAGATAAGGCACTTATAAAGAGAGATTGAATCTCAGACTCCATTCCTCACCAGACGAAAATCCTTAGGGCTTGCCACAAGAAACCAGCCAAAGATGGCCAATGCTCCTTGCTCTTCCCCGCGTCTCCAGGGCCCTCAAGAAGGCAACTTGGAGAGCTGCTCGGTGTCCCATACTCAATTGGACACAATGCAGGTGCATCGATACCTCCCTCCATCGGATCTGGTCCCCGTTCGAGCGGGATTAACCACCTACAACGGCGAGGCCCTGACGGAGAAATTCCCCAATCCCAGTCCAGGGGAGCGGGTGTGCTTTGTTTCCTTTTTGCTGAGGGGCATGGGATTTCTAATCCACCCCTTCCTCAGAGGTCTCATGGAGTACTACGGCCTCCAACTGCACAACCTCACGCCGGGCTGCATTTTACATACCGCGGGCTTTGTTGCCCTTTACGAGCTGTTCCTAGGCTGCGAGCCCATTTCGATTTATGGAGAAAATATTTCTGCCTCGTCCCCCGCTCCCAGAAGGGATCTATTTTCGAGGTGGGCGGCGCCGAAGTATGGCGTATAGGCGGAACAGGATACCTGCCCGGTACTCCAAAGAAGGCATCCGAAGAGTGGCCCTCAGAGTGGTTCTATATTGACGACATTGCCCTTTCAGACCCTATCTGGCAAGGTCTTCCTGAATTCTCCTCTGCTCCTTTAAAGAAGCGCGCCAGCTGGCGTCCCCGAAGCTATGAAGAAGAAGATAGTGCGAAGGTTAAGCGGTTAGCGAGCAAGGTCCGAATGCTTACCCATTCCGGACTATCCATAGTTGAGGTAATGGAATTTTCAATAACGCGATGCGTTCAGCCACTTCAATCCAGGGGATTTCCCATGTGGCATTACAATGGTGAGGACGACGCCACACGTTGTGGGCGCAAGGGTCCGGCTAATTTTGCCGTGCTGGGTACCACATTGGCCGACCTTTTCAAAGGGAAAAAGGAATACGTCGCTCGTCCGAAGTGCTGAGAAGGTTTCTCCATGTATACCCCCATTGACTGGGTGAGCCTTCAATTATAGGCCTCAATTGATCTGTTTTTTTCTCAAGTATGTTTTATAACCGAGTTTAATCCAACTGCCTTTAATAGGAATGGAGAAAGGTCGTCGAGGGGATCTACTGCCCCGCTCCGCAGCCGGAGGACCATAATCAAGACCTGGCTCCAGGATATGAAGAAGATCCGGACATATTCGTGGATTTTGAGGATGGAGTCTTTTATCAGACAAGCTACGACGACACAGAGGTGGCCATTATAGCCGACTACCCCGGCCTCCTTCCTTCCTCCCATGTAAGTACCCAGGAGACGTCTCCTCAAAAAGGGTTTTCCCACTGTGACTCACCCATTGTACCATATCATGTTCTCAAGGGGCGGCGCTCGCGCCAACGCGATACATCAAAGGCGTCCTCTAAGAAGACGATGCTTGCACAAGGTGCCTCTTGGAAAAGAAAGGCAAATAATGATACAGCCGGGCCCTCCTTGG